TTATATATTTACTATATTATAATATATAGTATATATAATATATATATATATATATTATATATAATATATCATAATAAATATATATATATAATGAAACTCTTAACTGACTTGTAAACATGCAGTTTCATAGGTTGCCATAACCATATCAATCATAAGCTAATTGCTTTGTTTTTTGATGTATGGTTCCATCATTCAGCTTTTGCCAGAGCTCCAGGACGGATATCCACGAGCTGACCAGTGATCTGGATGGAGCAGGAATCCCCTTCCTAGACTACAGAACCTACACCATGAGGGTCCTCTTCCCAGGCATTGAGGAACATCCTGTACTCAGAGATCTGGAGGTATTGTACAATGTTTCACTGAAATTGAATTACATATGGAGTGTACACCATTTAATCAAGGAACACCTTGTGATTGGCTGAAGTAGCACTTATTAAACTGACCTAATATTTAGATTTTGTCTGTGTCAGATTGTGGACTTAATTTGTATTGGTGACACAGGAAAAATATCATGTACAAACGGAATAAAACGTTCTACACTGACATGCTTGAGGGAAAATATTAACAGCATTTCCATTAAAGAGGTATTCCATCAGTTGTGTTGATCAGCAGTTCTTAGAAATTCTTGAGAGTGGAGAACTATAGGTATAAGAAGTTGATATAAATTTCCTATTTAAATTAGTGTACTTACTGCAAGTTTAATATTGCAAATAACACAAGTGTGTGTACCTGTTCTTCAGTCTCTATCAAATAACAATCGCAGTGCAATTAGCCTTATTTGAAAAGAGAGCAAAATGAGCAAACAAATTAACAATGTGGTGGGTCACAGTAGGTGAAATTGACGCCGATGTTGTTTGTGGTGTTGTCTGGTAAACAAAAGCCTTTTGACGACTGACAACAACACTTTTTCAAAACAAACAAGGCAGCCCTTAAATCAGGAGCGCGCTCTCATTAATAACTGAAACGATATGAGACGCTGTGTCGTTTTCTCTCTCCACCTCAAAAACAAATTAAAAGTCAATCAGTGGGAGAAAAGCAAAAGAAAAAAATGAAGTCATTTATCCCCAGTGGTGACATTGATAGACAGCCATAATTGAGCAGGTCGTCTTGTTCCATTAAGAGAATGATGGACCCCCATTTCACTGCCCTCGGGGTTGGCCACTCCATCCCTGATGAGAATTTCCCAGTAATAAGCAATATTAATTATGTTTTAATTGGTATAAATGTCGAACTGTATGAGGGGTATAATGCAAAGTAGGAGCCTAATGAAAAAAGCAGCAGGCTTGTCTTAGGCGCTTGATGGCTGCTTAATTGTTATTGATGTGTCGAAGAATTTAAACTTAAGTTTTTGACTGTGGGCTGTGGATAGTTAGAAATACCACAGGTGATGGAAGATCTGTGCAGGTTTACTGAAACATTGTTTCAGTACCTTTAAATTTAAAAGCATAACAGGCATTCAGAAAATTGCATGCGGAAAGATATCAAAATAGAGTCTGTGCATGTGCCAGCTCAATAAAGCCTGCTTCTTGACATTTGATTTGTTCCTTGTAACTGTTAAGCGTTATTCTTAGCAGTCAAAATCACTTCCTTTCCCTCTATTTTACCAACAATTTCACTTTACACCTGAAACCCATTTTGCTTTCTGCTTTTGTGTTTTTTTTTTCTTTCTCTCCTCGCCATTATATTTCTTTCTTTCCTCTTGATCTTTACAGAAAAAATCTTGTTTCAGCACTAGTTGACATTTTACTGCTCCACCTGTCAACCTGCCAAATTCAAATATTCCAGTGTTCCCATGAAGACTGTATAGGTCAGGACAGTTTGCTTTTTTTATGCACTGTCTCTCCATAATCCTAAGAGACTTTTTATTTTATTTTATATGTTGGGTCTATAATCCATAATAATTCACAGTTTATTTGGGTAGATATAAAAGAAGGCAGAAAACATGCATACACACAGATTTCCATGTGTGCCTGTATTCACACGCTCATATATATATATATACTGTACATTCACAATACATGCACACTGTACACATCTTGTCAGGCACTATGAAATTAGACTTGCAACTTAACAATAGCTCCCAGCAGATTACAAGGGGTTCCTCCAGGAAAGGTTGAAAGACTGAACATATGCTGGTTGACAGCTGCATTGGGTACAAAGAGATTCTGTCTTACCATGAGTGCTCTTGACAGATAAAAAAAAAAAAAATCTCAATAGGTGCTATTTATGAAAAAAAATTGAGAAAAGAAGCATGTGCAGTAAGTGACTTGTATAAATGGTGCAGGGACAGTCTGGGCTCAGATGAGGGGAATTCACATCACTGCACTCCCTTTCTACTTGCATTAGTGTGGAACACAGCGCCATCAAAGTAATAAACATTCCCTCAAGAGGCTCACTGTTTTCCTGCCTTTATTCTCAACCTTCAGACTAAACGTAACTAAAGCTGGAAGATGTTGAACTCCTCATGTCCCTAGATTATTTTTTCTTTCTCTCTCACACTCCCTGCTTTCCATCCTTATTTAATAAAGTATATGTATTAACACACAAATATTGCACAAGTTGAGTAAGTGAAGAACATTCTACATGAATTTATTAATTACTTTTACGTATTACTACCCTGATTTTAATGTGTTTACACTTGTGTTCATATTTATAAACCTGATCTAAGACAGAGAGCTAATATTACATTCAAATTAACTGATGATTAATTAGGTCTATATGTCATCGCCTTGATTGTGCCACACATAATCTGTACTTTTTTCCCCCTCTTTGTTATTTTTAATGTGTCTCAAGCGAACATTTTCCTGTTTCCTCACAGGTGCCAGGCTACCGCCAGGAGCAAGTGGAGAAGGGGCTGAAGCTTTTCGGCCAGCTCATTAACAACAAGGTCTACCTGCTGTGTTTCATTCGCACTCTGGAGGCCCAGCGTGGTTTCTCCATGAGAGACCGTGGCAACGTGGCCTCCCTGATCATGACAGTGCTGCAGAGCAAGTTGGAGTATGCCACTGATGTTCTAAAGCACCTGCTGTCTGACCTCATAGACCGGAACCTTGAGAGCAAGAACCACCCCAAGCTTCTGCTCCGCAGGTGAGTAGCAGACACAAAAAAAAAAGAGTTTAACTTTACTCCGTCTAGTGCCCAAAGTTACACAGCTGGCAGGGACCACTTTTGGTGTAGTTGGTTTGTTGCATGGAAGGGACTGTCCAACCCAATTGCTTTTCCTTTTTTCCCTCCTAAAAATAGTCAAAGGCCCTATGCTAAATATTTAAACACTAAACAACTACCACAAACATTCACTTTTTTTTAATCTAGGCTTGTGTTGTGCTTGGTCAGGAATAAAAACAAAGGTTTGTGTCAATCCAACAGGATATGCTTCTAAGTGTTTCCTATCTGTGACATGTTTGGATTAACTCCTGTGACCTTGAATTGCCGGCTCTGTCTCAGAGACACCGGAGTGCGTTGCCATGCACATCATTAGCAAAATAATTATGATTAATTAGCAGTGAATCCAATTTCAAATAGCTCAAGAGGAAAAAAATACTCATTTAAGAAAAAAAAGGAGAAAGTGAGACTGTGAAAGCTTGCACTCTAGCGCAATCACAATCCTCCCTTGGATTTGTAGTCAAAGCCTTAATGGCGTGCACTTGAACACAGTACTGTGTGTGATTATGCTTCCTGCCTGCGGTGTTTGGTAAATGTGATGATTATGGTTACTTGAGTAAACCGGCTTCCTCACAGCTGTTGTGTATGTGTGTGATGTGTGCATCCTCTACATATGTGCATACGGTATTGTATGTTGTTTTGCTTGGGGGTCGTCAATCAAGTCTTGACACCCCCAGATGATTTGACAAGCATGTCACAAATTAATTTGTCCATCCTATTTCAATTATTCTTCTAAATCTGCCTCTGGCTAAAAGCTCATCTCTGCCAGTAAAGACACACAAATATGACATACAGCATATATTTAATGTGGAGAGGACTGAAATCAATGCTGTTCATTATACCGTCCACAAGACAGTGTGCATATTCACCTCATGAAAGCCTGTTTGGACTCTACTTGGTGATGCAGAGAGAGATTAATGCTGTCTGGGCATGAGGCATGATTAATTGCAGCCAGAGCTCACCGAGCATGGTGCAGCCACTAAACAATGGAGTAACCGCTGATCCTGGCAGTAGATACAACATAAGAGATGGCGTGTACAGCAGAGACAGGGAGAGGTAGTCAAGGACAATGGAGACACTTAAAGCGGTGTCACCAAGTCAGGAAAGCTGACTACTGGTGCATGTAGAGAAGTAGTGAGATCAGCTCTTTGATCACTTAGTGTACGTGTAACCAGCTTGTTGTATGTGCTATAACCAGATATTGTTGATTTATTTCATAATTTGATTTGATTACAGCAATTTAATCCTAAATTAACAAAGACTAACCAACAACTGTTCTTCAAGCAAAGTCTAAATACAACACAGTGTCTTCTATCACACTTTGTTTCCACATTCCTTCACTTCCTCTCCCCCCCTTCCTTGTGATCAAGGGAGAGGGAGAAGTACAACCTGGCCAAAACTGCCATAGCATTCAGCCAGCACTGGAGGAGAGAGCACATGTTAACAACAAATGCACGCTCGGTTTGATTGCCCATTTGTCAAACACACGATTGTGATAGGCACTGACCAGACTGTCTTCATCTCATCCTTCCTCCTCGGATGCGCTTATTAGTCCTTCGACATCCCAGCATGCATTTCAGATGTGATGAGGCAGTGTGAGCAAGCTACGCCACCCCATAGTGTGGGCTGACTGGCATGTCCTTGGATAGCAGCTGAAAATAGCCCAGATACACAGGCATATGGCTGTGAAGATGAAGCTTAATATTGTCTAGGAGAGATGGCACCCCTCCCTCTCTTCTTCTCTCTCTTTAATTTGTTCGGTCTGTTCTCTATTTCTTTCTTTCACCATGTTTGCTCATTTTGAGTGTTATTCTCCCTCACAATCAGCCTCTGTCTGCTCACTCTCCACTGCTCTCTCCTCTATTTGTCTTCAGTTCTGATGCTTGTGCCGCTTGTGTCACACCGTCACTATCTTTATCTCTCTCTTCCTCTCTTATACTCGCTCTATCAATCTATATTCCCAGTTCTTCCTCCCCTCCTCCTTCCCCTCCCCTGTTTTCTTGATTGCTAAATCAATGCTTAAAGTGCATGAGCAGGGTGTCTCTGGCACAGCATCTTAGCACGGCTACCCACTGCCTCCTCTTCCAAGAAATCTGGCTGTGTGTGTGTGTGTGTGTGTGTACGTTTGTGTGTCTTTTTCCTCTCTCTCCACACACAAACACACATCCTTCCATCTGTCCCATCTCAACCTGTGCTGAAGCACAACCACCAGCAGGCAAGCTAACTAACGAGAGCCTTCCACAACCATCTGTCGCATTCCTTGCTGCATTCTCCTCCTTTAACTCCTCTCTTCCCTCCATTCCTCCATCTCTCACTTGCTTCCCCCCCAACACCATCCCTCTTCCCATCAAGCAGAGTTAAACAGCCTGTTCATAGCCTTAAGTTTTGTTTGGCTGCAGTTGATGCGTCAAAATAGCAGTTTTGATATTGGTCAAAAGATGAAAGCCCAATATGTTCTTGCGTTGATCACAACCTTGCTTTGGCTCCAACGCGGACACACAATCATCACACACGGTTACAGGCCCCCCCTTGTTTAACTGTAAGGATAATCTCATCTGAAAGAACATTTTTATTTGCTTGTGGGTGAGTAATAGATAGAATAAATGTCTGCAGTCAGTGTCTGCAGCTAGTCATCACTGTGAGACTGTTTGACACATATGATGACCAATCTTCCTCACCAGGAGCCAGAGTGGGAAATGGAAATGATTTCTGACCTCAAGCTGTACTGTTTAAACATGTGACTGAAGCCACGGGGGGCTTTCAGATGCTGTTTCATTTTTGGTTAACACAGCTGCTCCTTTTTACAAGAATGTAGTCTTGAGATCAACTTTTTACCTCAATATCTGGTTTTGTTTGTGAATGTAATGTGATGTTTATTATGGGTCTTAAAGACACCATGAAAGGGTTTCTTTACCAACTTAATACAAATAGTATGTAGTGTTAAAATGATTAGTCAGTCCAATAATCCGTTTTTTTTAATCATTTTGATCATTGACTGTTCAGGTGATTTATCAGACAAAATTGCTAAACACTTGCTGGTTCCAGCTTCTTAAATTGTGAGAAATTGTAAATCAGACACATGTTTTCTGGGATGATCATTTGTCACTATTTTCTTAAAATGAATCTGCAAAATATCTGCAAGTAATCACTGCAGTGAGGGATCATTCTAAAGTGTAAATGAAAAAATATTAGTAAAGGAAAGATGCAGTTTGATTCGATTAGATGGGAAGTTATTTTTAGGGCTTTATTGGTTAGATTTTATGTTCACATCTACCATCAAAGATTCATTCTTCTCCAGAAGGAAGTTTTTCAGAAAGTCATTTCATACAGATACACAAATACATGTTACTAGCAGCTACGGCCAACCAAAATGTTAAATGTGTGATGAAGCATGGATTCCCATCAACCCTACCTCTGTAATCAGGGGGGAACTAAGCGCTGCCAGGTCCCCTCTGCTCTAGATCATTCTCAATGCCCACTGCCCCTCTGACTGGCTGCCAAGTAGGCAAGCCTGACCATGCCAACACGCCACGGCACATTTCATTGCATTAACCCAAACATAGGTTGTGCTGTGTTTTGAGTAGCAGCTAAGGAGAGGTTTGGAGACGATTGTTTGAAAGTTGTAATGCTAACGTTAGATCTTAAAGCGGCTCCGTCACAGTGCCATTTTTATCCTTGTTCCCCATAGACTGTGCTGTGATCGAGAATGAGCATAAGCAAACTGGTGTGGTCGTGCCAAGACTCCTTATTACTGCAGGGCTGGCACCCGCTGCCAGAAGCGTGCACAGACACACACAATAAACACTAGTCAGCACACATGGTAATTTCTGAATACATACGCAGTGGGATTAATTTGTGCTTTTTGCACGCTAGCCTTAAAACAGCCACACACTTGTCCACTTACATAGGTACACAAAAACACAATATCTATTGGAAGTGAGCAAGAAAAAGGACATTTAAAAGGAAGAAAAGGGAAGGCCAGACTCAGCCAAGCCATTTCTTCTCGTTCTTTTCTTCATTTTTTCCTCTTTCCTTCCCTGTGCACCTCCTCCTTTCTCCATGCTCCTTTCATCCCTTTGATAGATGGGCTACATCTGTGGAAATGGAGAGGATTTGGAAGTGTGTATGATTACAGGATCCAGAGTGGGCACAGCCAGAGGGAGGGAGAAAGACAGCAAGGACACATGAAAGAAAAGATGAAATGTGACCTTGTTGACCCTTGGATCTGTGGACGGCGGAAGGGCGGGAGGGGCGGCAAAATGAAAGTGCGGGCACTGTGAGAGGCAGGAAGTTAATCCCCCCCAGGTGTTGTGCCAGTGTTGGCGGGGGGTGCCAGGACAGCCCACTGGCAAAGCAGGCATCATGTCCCCCCTCATGCCTCCGTGTGGAGCCCCTTAAAGAGGCTGTGTGAATGGTGAAAGGGGGGAGGGCTGCAGGTGGCAGCCGAAACACAGGGCAAAACCTACACACGGACACAATGGACACTAATCCTGAAATATTGATGCCTATGGTAGTTGCTCATTGAAAGCTGAGGGGAGGGGTGCATCGGTGTGTGTGTTTTAGCTGTTCTGACAGATTACCCACACACCCCTGCTGCTGGTCAAGAAGGTTGCTGTCAAAGGATATCCGATCCTTGCCTCTCCTCTTTCTCCCCTCGCCACTACAGCTTTTGTTATTATGTATGCATATTAGCCATTCACACGGGATCAATCACACTGTTGGCCCAGGTCAACACAGACACACACACAAACGCAGATGCACACCATTTTGCCACACCAGTGGAGCATGGATGCCAGGCAGAGAAAGGGAGGGAGATGTATTCATTCACTTTCTATTGTGCACGGATCGAGTGTTAGTCCAGTGAATAGGCAAGGGAGCGCTTGATAATGAGGCCAGTGTTATTACAGAGCTGCTCCAGCCCCTAACGACATCAATCCACTGGGATCAAATAAAGGCTTTTAATTGCTTTGCCTCATATTAAAATCCCCACTGCCGTAGTCGAGCTGCCCTTGGCATGCCTGAGCATAAAAGCCATGCAGAAGGATTGTCTGAAAGGCCATCATATAGCATGTGCAAGGGCTCTTTCAATTCATGTCTTTACAAAAATATTTGTGTAATGAAAGCCTATTCATTAGCAGCAGTCATCATTTTTAGCAGAATATTTGATGATGGTGTTGAATATTTATGATGGTAATAAGAGTGAGGGGATCATATGTTCATTATGTGCTTTGTGTCTTTCTGTTTGCAGGACTGAGTCTGTTGCAGAGAAAATGCTGACCAACTGGTTTACGTTCCTTCTTTACAAGTTTCTGAAGGTAACGCTTAAATTTTGGTTTTCAACCAAATCACTGTCACCTCACTGCTGTCTTCATTAGTGTTTCTAAGTAAATGTGATTGATATCCATTAGTTCTACCTTTATTTTTAAGGCTGCAAAACTTTCTCAAAAATACACAGAAGACTACTTCATATTCTGTATTATACTACTTTTCCCTCCTCTGTGCTATCCTTGATTAAAAGCTGTAGCTACCTCTAAGATTCATTAGAGAAGTAGTTCCTACAGTATGCTGATGTTGATGTGCTATTGAAGAGGAGTACCTTTTACTCCACAGGGCACCAGTATAAACTAAAAGAAAAATTCACCACTCCTCCCCTTAAGTCAAACAAATGTCCTGTTTTTCCCTCCATCTCTCCACTCATCCTTTTACTGCAGCTGGGAGGAGAATAAAAACAATGATAAATGGACAATCTCTTCTTTTTGATAAACGACAGTGTTTTCAGGAGAGAAGACGGGGGTGGCTCCAAGAGTCTGTCTTTTATGGCATTTTTCACTGTTTATCCATCAAATCTTTCCTAAACTTCATTTCAGCAAAGTGTATATATTGACAGGTTGTAAAATTTCTTTAATTTAGGGGAACTATAGAGTTTGGAATGTGATGTTTATAAGTCTTGCTCAGCAACTTTGGAGGCAAGGCAGTCTGAAAAAACATTACAAAAAGCAACTACATTTTAGATAGATATTTTCTCGGACATTATTAAACTTTGCTGACAGTGAGTGGAGTGCAGAAATGGCTTCAAAGTTTTCTTCCTCCCCCAAAACTTTTGGTCTGTTCCTGTCTCAAATCTCTTTGTAGGAGTGTGCCGGCGAACCTCTCTTTTCCCTCTTCTGTGCCATCAAGCAGCAGATGGAGAAAGGCCCCATTGACTCTATCACAGGAGAGGCACGCTACTCGCTCAGTGAGGACAAGCTCATCAGACAGCAGATTGACTACAAGACGCTGGTAAGGGGTTCACCTGCCCAGGGGTCCAAGGGCTAAAAGGGAAAACTTAATATGCTTTCAGGGACAAGAGGAGAGAAAAGGGTGGTTATGGGTTGTCGGTCATGAGATGAGCAACGGGACATAAAGTTGTCGTTGTCACGCTTGACATGCAGGGGGCACGGGAGTGGCGACCTCACTTCCTGTTGAGACCGGAGCTGTCAAGGAAAAAGAGCAGGGTTTCGGGATGAGGAGAAATGAAAGAGATTATGCATGTGAATGTGTTCGCACAAGCAGAGAGACGCTGATGCTCTCTCCTTTAGGAGCGTCTCGTTTATTCCCCAAGTCTGTCTGTTGTCCTCTCTCCACTGTGACGTATCACTTGTACTCTGCATTCTGGGACTACAGATTTTCATACTCTCTCAATGTCCATGGAACTGTGAAATTAGCTTTAGATTGGACTTTTACAACAGAGTCACCCATACTCAGCTCACCACCCCATTTTCCACAATATAGATGTGTATAGAAACTACACTTAAAGATAAATATATATTTAAATGGAAGCTTTAATTTTATGTATACTGCAGACATGCACATTTGGGACATTACATACATAGAAGATAACACATTTACCCTCTCTATTTGTGTATAAATACAAATACACACAAATGGGTATTTGAGTTAATCTTGTAATTCAGTTATTTCCACCAACACCCAGAGGCAGTAAAGAAAGATCTGATGAATATCCTAATAATATTATAATTAGCTGGTTTAGTGCTCATCAATTCAGGTAGCACATTGCTGTCTCTCTTCAAGCTTCGAGGAAAGAGCTGTTTCCCTGGTGAATGATCTTTTTTTCCCCTGCAATTCTCTCACAGACCCTTTGGCGAGCACAAAATTATTGCACTTCCATTGAGTACCAATCCACAGTGCAATCAACATTATTAACATAACACACGCAAAAATCTTCTCTGCCAAGATTAAACAAGCATTACAATCTATCTTTTGCACTAGATCAACTTGTAAAGATGTTTTTATATTTCCAGCTTGAGTGCTGCAGTGGAAAATATTGCAAGAATCCTTACCTATAGATACCCAAAAACATTTCCCACACGTGCAATATAACGAAAGCTGTCTTTTAAGACAACAAAAGGCAACACTTGGATACTGTTTCACCGGCAGCTTGCTGCCAGCCCTCTCCTTTACAGTGGCAGTCTTGTATGTATTTCTGCTACAGGTGGTGAACTGCATCCATCCAGAGAATGAGAAAAGCCCAGAGATCCAGGTGAAGGTGCTGAACTGTGATACCATCAGCCAAGTGAAGGAGAAGATCCTGGATGCCATCTACAAGAACGTCCCACACTCTCACCGCCTAAAAGCCTCCGACATGGACCTGGGTACAAATCTATGTCTTTTCATATATAAATAATGTGAAAAAGCAGGCAAACAGTCATCTTTGGCGCATTAAATTTATGTAATTCTACTTTTCAGTTGATGAGGTCTTGCTCATGCAGATCCCTGTAGTTAACTTAAAGCTTGTCAAAACATTTCTATCCACACAGTGTTGATCTCATCTATGTGCCTGGAGAAAAGCAGGCTGAACTTAGACACCCATTGATTTTACAAAGGCTTCCCCACCCCTCTCAGCCCCTCTTAAAAAGTACAAGTCTTCTTAGATACAGAGAAGTAGCTTTCTTTTCAACCTCAGGAGACTTGACTTCCTGGCTCTCTCAGTCAGATGTCTAATATTGGTCTCTCCCCTCCCCAAACTTCTCATCGATTGACTCTCTTGTCGACTAGCATCTGAGTCACATGATTGATCAGCTAATCAATCGAGACGCTCAGTGATCTCTTCCCTACAAAATCATTTTCCTAGTGTTCTTCTTTTTCTTCCATCCTTTTCCCTGAGTTGTATAACTGTATTTATTGGGTATCTCAATTGTATCTAACTTGGGTCTAATCTATTTGCAAATTACTTTCATGGCCCTCTGATAGGAGAGTGTGCAATGATACACCTTCTCTGCAAGACATCTAGCATCACGGATTTTGTACACTGTGTTCGTGGTGTGTTGTTGTGTGTGTGTGTGTGTGTTGTGTGTGTGTGTGTGTTGTGTGTTGGTGTGTGTGTGGTTGGTGTGTGTGTGTGTGTGTGTACAATACATGTACAAAATAGACATGCATACTCGTGAGCGTAACAATATTATCCAATATTGTTGTCTGCCGATACCTACAGGCCGTCTCTGCACCATGTGCCATACTTTTTATGGTTTAATATTGCCAGATGGATTTTCCATGCCCCTGTTGTGTGTTTGTAATAGCATATTTATAAGCAACCCAGGATCTAAGATGGGCTGAGTGCATACCATGGGGAATCTGGCTGTGTGATAGCTAAGTGAAGAAATTGATTTAGCCTTTTGACAACATTCCTGGATAAAATTGTTTTATGGCCCCCTTTGGGCAGGATGTTGTGTTCTATTATTGTTTTATTACGAAAGGGAATTGGAAAATTGTCAGAGTTAGCTAGCCACTCGTTCAGTATGTCTGTGATTGTGAATATAAGAAAGAGAGTAAATGCAAGCTAGCAAGAGAACATGCATATGGAATTCAATATTTTTCCAGTTCTATATTTACAGTATGTATCTGACATGCTGTGCAGATTCGAAGAAATATCTCTCTTGTCCATAAACAGACAGAGCACAAGTTTGACACATCTTTTCACACCTGTAGGTTTTTTTTATTTGCCAGTGATGCTGTCGTTATTAGCATTTCTTGGTCTTGTGCTATTATGGTGATGATAATGCTCGAGTGGAAACAAGTCTTCCATTTGATTGTTTTTTGTTTTTTAACAAACTTGTAGTGAAGTGCTCTTCGTTTATAGGTAATATCAGTGGTTCTCAAGATCTCTGACACACAAACACACACCCAAACACAGACTGATTGCAATGGTTGATAAGGATAATGGGATTGAGGCAGGCCTGTCCTGAGACAGATTGGCCAGGAGTGTTGTTATCCCAGATATTGTTTTTAATTCCCCTGTGCTGCAGTCCACAGTCCCCTGCAGGGTTTCAGAGAAGATGGGGCCTGAGAACGAAGAAGCTGGGCCGTGTGTGTGTGTCTGTGTGTGTGTGTGTGTGTCTTTGTGTCCCATGTTGCCACTAGTAAATGTGTGTTATGCATCTCTGTGGAGTACAGCAGTCACCTTCAGCTTTTCTCTTCACCATCAGCTTCCATACACTCCCCAAAGCCCTTATCTCTTTAGTTGTGTGTGTGTGTCTATAATGCAAGCCTATATACACACACACACATACTGTTCTTTTTCTACTGAGTAGCAACCACTGGATTTGGGATAGGGAGTAATTTCAGTTTACTTTGGTTTCAGACCAAGTTTATTCTTTTATTTATTCCTTTCTGCCTTTCTTTTTTCTCATTCCTTCATTTGTTTACTGAGCCTCGACTAGAGACGGCGCTCATTTGCATCTTTATGGGAAGATGTACTGTATAGACAAAAACAACAGGAGAATTTTTATTTCCAGCAGATTTTTCAGATGCCAACACAATTCTGGTCGATCCTCCAAAGACAGGCCTCATCATGCGCCACAGTGATTGCCGCTTTGTTTTCCAGTTTGTGATCAGAATAGGAGATGACAGTGGCCGATGCAAGTGGGAAGCACAGCAAGGAGCACAGACACAATAACGTATTCATAAAGCCCATGATGTCTGCAAAAAGAATAGAGGAATCATCTGCTTGTTTGTTTTTGAGATGGCTTTCCTTTTTCACTTATGATAATGTTGCTAGGGTATTGTGAGATGTTTCTATCAAAGCGTGTTTTGTTTTGTGCTGAGGTTGCACAGATGTGGGAAGCCTGGTGTGTACGTAGTGCAGATGTAATTTGGTTGTAAGGTCATGTAAATGCCATGCTGTTGTTTAAATGAAAGACACTGTCATTTACACTGGAAGTTACTTTTTGAAAAGTATGGAAATTAAGTGATCTGCAGTCTTTGTATAAGCTATTGTTTTATGTTTACAGCTTTCTGGTTTCTCCATATCCTGTTGGCATGGATATGAGTCTGGTCTGCTTCTACCAAAGCTCCCAGAAATATAAGAGCAGCGCGGGGGCTTAGAGCAGTAGATGGGGGACTGACTAGAGGAGAGCAGGGACCAATAGCGCCTTCAGAGAGTAGAGGATAAGAGCCGGTGCTGCAGATGGAAAAGGAAGTGCACAAGCCCTGGGCATGCAGCTGTAATCACACCCATCGATCGCACCAGCGTAAGAGATGGAAAGCTAAGAGCGGAGCGCTTCATTCTAAAAAGAGTAGAGTGGGTGATTAATTCAGCTCGCCTCGTGTTACTGTCTCTCACGTGTGCTCTCATATCTTTGCCTTTCTCTTCTACTTGTTTTTCTCCTCTTTTTGATTCTATTCAGGCTTTTCATGACAATGTGAAATCATTGTTCAGAAGAAAGCAAAGAAAACTTCAGAAGATGAAGATGGAGATAGTGACAACTAGTTTTCTGGCAGAACAGCCATTAGAACTTGTACACAACAAAACATCATTTCTTTTGTTGGTGTGGTTAAAAAGCTGTCTCCAAAGGCAAACATCATGGAGATGTGTTAGCCAAAATGTAAATATTATCAAAGAAGTTGTGTTGCGTGAATATGGTTGGTAATATCCTGATCTTTTCAATTTTTTTCCTTTGCGATTGCAGAGTGGCGTCAGGGTCGAGGACAGCGAATGATCCTGCAGGATGAGGACGTCACCACTAAGATCGAAGGTGACTGGAAGAGACTGAACATGCTGTTCCATTATCAGGTATGATCCTATGACTGTATATTTAAAAATGTAGACAATGGCAACTTAAATTTATTATATTTCCCAACATAAAAAAATAACAATATTCTAAGTTTAAAAAACATAAAAAGTCTGTTTCCTTGGTCTATGGTGTGGGACACACATAGACATGTGTACGCAATGTTTTAAAGATAATATTAATTAACATTGACAGAAATGTTGTTAAAGCTTATTTAAGTAAAAATTCAAAGTTGTTTAAGATGTAAAATACAAAGGGTTTGTAAAGTTTTGGATCTCACAGAGAGGAATAAAAAAATATTAGATTGCTATCTGCAGAGACTTGGGCCTCTGAGGCTTTTAATGGATAGATTGTATCTTTTATTTGAACACACTTCTTTCAAGAAAGGTACAGCTGTTTTCATCCCATTTCCAAAGAAAAGGTACACAAACAAAAAGCTAAAACATGTGTCCAACACATTAAGAAAACCTTTTGATTCTAAGCACAGAAGCCTGATATTTACTATTGAACTTTTCTTGAGTACCTTATTCATTTCAGCAGTCTTCTTTACCACCTGCCATCATCCCTCTACCTTCATTGTATATATAGCTATCTCTGATGCACTCTCAAGTCACCTCTACATTTTCCTCTTAAGTTGTGTGACCTGATAATCTCCACTAAGTTGCAAAACTATCTAATGGACTTTTCAGTCAAAGAACCTTTCTGGCTTTTGTAAGACTTGAGCTGACAGGGACCCTCTTCACACGCACACAAGCACACTACCAATACTCTTATCTGATATATCTGTCAGGTGAAGGGGAATGAGGCAGGGCAAGGCAGGGAAGTGACCAACAACAGTGACACTTGGAAGTAATCCCTTACAGTATATGTGGAGAGAGAGAGAGAGAGGACTCGAGATAATATCTGATGTGCTGGTCAAGTGTCATCATCTATATGAAGTGGATTAGTGTTGGCATAGATTTCATGTACAGAATAGACATATCAGTGGTCACAGACACACAAGGCACTATATGTGCACACACAAATATACAGTTAATAGCACAAGGTAAGGTTCGAATTTGTTAAGAAGACTATGCACAAAATACAGACATCTCACTCATTAAACACACAAATGCTTTTATTCAGTGTCAAACATATAAGCAGATGTTTTGTGCCTCATGAGTAGCAACCGTGCATACAGCCAACCAGAATGAGACTTGAAAAACAGGCCCTCTTTGTCAACATGTTAATAATTGGAGCAGCTAAGCAAGCAGCCACTGTCCCCTCCAAGTGCAGTTTGCACGGTGCCTAAATTAAATGTCAGCATCAGCAAGTGTCAACAGGCTTGGAGTACAAGGCACGGGTGGAATGGATTAGGGAGCTGATTCAAATCAGAGATAAGATAATGAAGACAGAAGTTAATTCACTTTTTTCAGGCCAGGGAATAAGGGCGCCTTATCCTTGACAGACCAAAAAAAAAGAAAAAGAAAACACTCCCATCCACTCAAAATTTGTCAGCAGCCTAATCAAAGGGCGAGGAAGGGAGGGGACACCAGAAACACATTCAGACTTCAGTCAAGGGCATCTGCAAATCCATACTTAGCTTTACCTTAACTTAATTTCACTGAAATGTTATGGCTTGAGTTTAAAGAGGTTAAATGTATAAATCATTTTGTTGAAGATCTTGTCGCATTATTAATCAAATCCATTGATGCACTCTTTGATCGATGCCAACCCAGATGTGCTACTATATTTGGATTTGGGACGTAATCCAGACATGTTATCTAAATATTGTTTGTCTTATTAGAAGCTAACATGACCGACCAGACACACTCAATAGAATCATGTGCTCTCCTTTATTAAACTAATCTGGTTTGATTTGCCACCAGCCAAACTTACCCACTCACTCTGCCATCACAAACTCAGTGAAAAGTTAGATTTTTTGTTCAGGAAAACATCACATAAATTTGGCATTTGTGATATCAGATCTTTCTGTCCCCATAATGAGAGACACATCTCTCCTCTTCCTCTCTTTCAGGAAACTATGCTCCGCTTTCTGCCTTTATCCTCTCCTACAAATGTTATTTCTCCAAATGCCAGTCCTCCATTTTATTATGTTCCATTGTGCTTTGCTCATGTTATATCCATTCAACACATAAGAGCAGTGATCAGGGAGCAAGCTTAAGGGTGTTAGAGAGTTTTAGGGGAGGGGGCTCCCCACAAAGGAATAACAAGATCTGCCCTGTGGGCTTCCTGCTTACAATAATATAAACGTATTATGCATAAGGAGCAGATTGAGTGACTGGGTGAAATAATGATACAATCTTAATAAGACCCTGGCTGGCACACACACACACACAGACACACACACAAATATGCAGTATATGCACAAAAGGCCCCTGGTCTTTATTCCCTGTCCCATCCACTCACACTATGATAGAGATCACTTCAATTAACCCTGCCTTACCCTGCAGCACGGGTAGCCAGATTATGCAGAATAGGGGTATTTTGTGTGTGTGTGTGCGTGTGTGTGTGTACGGCTGGGACAGAGTGGATCCCAGTTGTGTTAATTGAATCCTGCTTGGCTGACTGGGGAAGGAGGAGCGCACGATTGACTCATTCATTCATTTACACATACTTATTTATACATAGACCAACACACACACAGACACACTGCTCGATTCTTTACACCTTCATATACACAATCTCAAACACACACACACACACAACCCAACCCTGGAGGAAAGGTATTATTGAATAGAGACTGTGGGACATCCCCTCTCACACAGGCCTGTGCGATGCTCTGCTAAACTCTCCCTCCCCCCTGTCAGTCATCATATGTATGTGTGGGCTGAATAGAGCACATAAGGGTAATAAGATATTCTGTTTATCCACATGAAACCAGAATAGATAAAGTGAAATATAGAAAATGACACCAACACAATGATCTATGGGTTTTCT